CTCACTGCAGGGAAAAAGAAATGTAGAAACAATTTTCAGCACACAAGCCCCTCAGTCTTTATAAATCACATGTAGGCTGAATGGATCTGGCTGTAGGCTCTTGTTTTCTGGCCCCATGAACTTGTTTTAATTTCTCTCAGTAATGATATAAAAGGTTTTGTGTCGCAGTCTTGCATGTCTGTTAGTATGCATAGGTCTGTTTTCTAGTTCTTTTTTTTTTTTTTTTAAAGAGAGAGTGAGAGAGGAGAGAGAGTGAGAGAGAGAGAGACAATTTTTAATATTTATTTTTTAGTTCTCGGCGAACACAACATCTTTGTTGGTATGTGGTGCTGAGGATCGAACCCGGGCTGCACGCATGCCAGGCAAGCGCGCTACCGCTTGAGCCACATCCCAGCCCTTCTAGTTCTCTTTTCAGCAGTGCCCAATCAGCTATTAAAAGCTTCCACTTAATTCTTAATTTGATTATTGAATTTTTATTTTTACGTACTTGATACCAGGGATTGAAACCAGGGGTGCTTAGCCACTGAGCACTATCCCCAGCCCTTTCTAAGTTGCTTAGAAACTCACTAAGTTGCTGAGGCTGGCTTTGCACTTGATCCTCCTGCTTCAGCCTCCTGAGTTGCTGGGGTTACTGGTGTGTGCCACTGCATCCAGAAAGTTTATATTATATTTATTTTTTAGGGAATAGGGTCTTGCTATTTTGCCCAGGCTGACTTCAAACTCCTGGTCTCAAGCAATCCCCTTGCCTCAGCCTCTCAAGTAGCTGGGACTATAGGGGTTATTGGGTTTTGAGAAAGTTCTATAATGTACTTTTTTTTTTTTTTTCCTTGCAGTACTGGGGATTGAACCTAGGGTCTCATGCCAGCCACACAACTACTCTACCACCAAGCTATATCCCTAGCTCCCTCCTCCTCCTCCTCCTCCACCACCACCACCAAGCTATATCCCTAGCTCTCTTCCTCCTCCTCTACCACCAAGCTATATCCCTAGCTCCCCCCTCCTCCTCCTTTTTTTTTTTTTTTAAGATATATAGGTATCTGCTGAAATACTTAAACTTGTATATCTCCTTGAACATATTCAGCAGTTATTTTAAAGTCTACATTTGAAGCTCCGGTATCTGCAGCCATGATGGGCCTCTGCACTGTCTGTTATTTTTCTAGTTTTCTTACTATCTTGTCTCATATGCCTAGTTACATTTTGTTATATTCAGGATTATTGCATTAGTAAAATTTGTTTGTAGAAATAATTTGAGATTTAGAATTATATTTTCCTCCAGAGAGAATTTTTATTAGCTTATGCCATGGGTTTGGGGAAACTGACACTCTGGGAGCACCTTAATCTACTTTCAAGGTTGATATGACTGGAAGTTGAGCAGCAATCCCTTATGGGAGTCTATTTCCCTCTTTCCATTCACCTTTTTTTTCTGAGTTGCAAAGGCTGATGGTCTCCACCGAAAGCAAGGGACTGTCCAGGTTTTTAACAAGCCCTGTCCATACTTTTGGAAAACTGTCAAAATACACTGATCTTGGGGTTGGGATGTAGCTCAGTGGTAGAGCACATGTGAGAACCTGAGTTCCATACCAACACCTGCCCCAATCACAGATCAGCCTCTGAACAGCCTCTAAGTTTGAAAACTTTAAGCCCAGTTTCCAGGCCTCCATATCCTCAAGGTCCTGGTCTAATAGTATTTCAAAACCATGTTTGCTCTCTGATGTCTTCAAATAGATAGTTTCCAGTCTTTTGATTTTTTTCAAATTACTAAAAAAAAAAAAAACAAACAACTTTATTTACTATTTAGCTTTTTGGCTCTGCTGGTGCGTTTGGCACTTGACAATTTTCTGTTCCTAGACAGGGAAACCAGGCCTGAGCCTGTTACGCATTCAGCACACATGGAACCACCATAGAATTTGCTCAGGTGCTTTTTCGTTTTAGACAATCCCTTAAAAGCTTGTGGGATCAACCCCTCTAAGTATATCTGGGCATGTTACATGTGCTTTCCCAGGCTTCTTGGGATAAAGCTAAACAATTCTATTACCAGGGGTGTGAGGAAGTCTAGTTATGTTAGAGAGCCTATGATGGCATGTCAAATCCTGCACCACACTAAGTGTTTATAGACACAATTCTTAGCATAAAGAGTTGAAAAGATTTTTTTCTTTTTTGTAGTACTGAGGACTGAACCCAGGGCCTCGAGCATGTAGGCAAATGTTCTACCCCTGAGATACACCCAGCTTTTTTTTTTTTTTTAAATCTTGCGACAAGGTTTTGCTATGTTGCTAATGATGACTTCAAACTTGTAGGTTTCCTAACTCTTTTAGGATTACAGGCATGAGCCACTGTGCTTGGCCTTAAGCAATTTAAAAAATATTTTTCCAGGCTATCTAGTTACCTCCCCATTAGGATAGTCAATCTAAATTACCTACCTACCATTACCAGGAGCTTAAGTCCTCATAATTTTTGTGTTAGTTATTTGAATGGTCTTTTACAATATGCAAAATGTTAGTACACCACTGTCCTTTTTTGTGTTTAAAAAACATATTTTTTTTTCTTTTGTATTGGGGATTGAACTTGGGCACTGGACCACCGAGCCACACCCCCAGCCCTATTTTGTATTTTGTTTAGAGACAGGGTCTCACTGAGCTGCTTAGCACCTTGCTTTTGCTGAGGCTGGCTTTAAACTTGTGATCCTCCTGCCTCAGCCTCCTGAGCCACTGGGATTATAGGTATGTGCCACCGAACCGGGCTACTAAAAAACATAATTTTTATAGAAACAATTAGGCCCTTGCACAATTACTCTCACCAACAAGAACTGTGCATGGTTTCTGTCTTGGTGTTGGGATGGAACCCAGGGCCTTGGACATGCTAAGCACGGAGCACTATCAATGAGCTCCAACCCTGCTCTTGAATTGCAGGTTTCTATATTCATGGCAATAAGATGTACCCAAAGTAATGTGTTTCTCATTACCTCTTGGGTACTCTTGGCAAACATTATCAAAAGTGGAATTGCAGGGCGTACACTGCTCCTCCAGCAATGTAAAAGAGCACTCAGTTTCTGACCTGTATTAACACTGGGTTAACTGATTCACAAGTGTTTATGGAGAATCTATTACGTATGATATAACAGATACTGATTAGTTAGGTAGTTGTGAGACCTCAAGCTAAACCCTAGAGTTCACGTTTTAGCTCTCTTCTGCTTTTCCAAGTTACGTATTCTTCCCAAATAGTTTTTTTTTTTTTTGTGGGGGGGTGAGGTGCTGGAAATTGAACCCAAGCCCTCACATTTGCTAGGCCAACTTTCTACCACTGAACTACATTCCCAGCCCTCTTCCCAAGTATGGACAGAACTCTAATTTCCACTGTTTAAATTCTTTTATTTTTTTCAAATCAAACTGAAAAGGTAGAATAGTCAACTCAATATTTTTGGTTACTAGTGCAATAATGTTTGGCAATTCTAAAAACAGGAAAAACAAGTAACCAATAAGTGTATAAAATTTTCATTAGAAGTAAAATGCAAATAAAAACAATACACTATTTTTTCTATCAAAGTGGCAAAACATTTTTTTAATGATAATAAATACCCAGTGTTCGTAAGGGTCAGAAAGTGAGTGCTCTTTTATTCTGCCGGAAGAGGGTAAATTAGCACAGCTTTTTGAGGAACAAGTGTCAAAACAGCAAAGCCTTGGAAATGTGCACATCCTGCAATTCCACTTCTCATAATGCCAAGGAAATAATTATGAGTGTGGATCCAAACTGAGTGTGATGGTGCACGCCTGTAATCCCAGATATTTGGGAGGTGAGGGCAGCTTGGACAGTCTAGTGAGACTAAGCTCAAATTAAAATAATAAAAGGTCAGATGCAGCTCAATGGTAGAGCCCTTGCCTACCAGGTGTGAGGCCTTGGTTTCAATCCCCAGTACTGCCAAAAACAAATTTAAAAAAATGTGGGATATAGAATTAACTATGAGGCTGCACATTATATCATCAATTATAAAAAACTGCAGGCAACCTAATAGTGGGTTATAGAAATAAATTATAGTGAAGTGATACAATAGAATATAATAATAATAATGGTGTACATGGATGGGTAGCTTCTGACAAGGGAAGATATTCACCCTTTTATTATTTTGTAGTGCTGGGGACTGTACCCAAGTACTCTACCATGGAGCTACATCCCCAACCCCTTCACTCTATATTATTAAACAACAAAAAGCAAGTTATAAAAGAGTACAGTATGAACTCACATTTCTTTTAAAAACTGTACATGTAATATATACATATAAAAACAATGAGAAGGACATGTATATCCTTGGCATTATCATTGGCAATCTCTGGATGGTAGAAGTCTGAATTAACTGAAAAAAATTATACCCATTTTAAAATTTTATTTTAACAAACATGTACTGTTTTTTTTTTTTTTT